TGGAGGTGTGGAGGCTTGGGCTCAGCGCCGTCATCATGGGGAGCCGAGGGTTTGGGGCCGTGCGCCGGGGAAACGACGGGAAGCTCGGGAGCGTCAGCGATTACTGCGTTCATCACTGCGTTTGTCCCGTTGTTGTCGTGAGGTATCCGGAAGATAAGGACGACGGTAATGACGGCAGCGATGGCGGCACCGCCGTGCTCGCCGCGAAGAACGAGGAAGACGAGGCCGTGATCAAGCCCGTGGAGAAGGAGAAGCATCTAAAAGGTTTGGGAATTCAACTCTTGATGTTGCAAATTGCGTTGCTTTTTCGCAAATTTTGTGCTTCTTCGTTTTGCTGAGTTTCATTTCGTTGGTTCTTGATGTCGTTTGTTGATAGTAAGAAAATTTATTGTCAATTGTGTTTGTTCTGAGTTTGTTTCTGGTTGGTGCTTTTCTTTTTTTTTCTCCAAGAAAAAAAAATCATAGAAATAGAGGGTGGGGTATTTAGATAATTCTCGCGTAAAAAACAATTATAGAAATAGAAATCTCTCACGAAGTGAATTTGTGAATTGATTACTTTTTATCTTTAGCTATTTTAATAGCTCTGTCCTGCTCTTTCTGTGACTTCACATCTTGTTGATTTGAGATATGTTCAATTGATAGATGAAAATCGCTTTTATTAAATTGTGTTAGTTTTCTTCGTTTGGCTGTAAGTAAGATTTATACGAGAAGCACAAATCTTCGAGTGCGTTTGGAACTCGTTCTAAAATAATTTTATTTTTTTTATGAAAATAGAAATGAAAATATTTTCAATCTCAGACAGAAATTATTTTTAAAAATGCGTTTGATAGTTTTATTAAGATATTATTTTCAATATAAAAAAATCTATTAATGTCTCTCTCTATACTCTCTCAGAGAGTAGAAAACAGAAACAAAAAATCGTTTTCATTTCCCTTTTTTGTCTTTAATTTTCTCTCCTGTTTTTATTTTTTCTTTCTCAAAAAACGTAAAAAACAAAAACAAAACCAACTTCAAACACGGCCTTCATGACCACTAATCCAAAATTCCAAACGCTTTTTCTCATTGGCAGTATATCATAGGTTTTATGCTCACAGAGAAAGCATAATAGGTATATAATAGGTCCCTCCAATTTGGGAATGATGTCCAATTTGGAAAAAGGTTATTTTTATGTTTAAGAATTTTGTTGTGGTGAGAGAATGTCAAATCAGTATAGTATTACTCTTGTGCCATTAGGGTTTAATATCTTATTTCATATTTTTTATACTAAGCATTGATTGCTTTCATGGGAAAGAAGTTAAATAAGTTGTAAACTTCCATGGCGAAAAGAAAAAGGGAAAGAAAGAAAGAAAGCATAAATGATTAATGTCTAAGGAACTTCTGATTCATTGGTTATCAACAATTGAGATGATTCGTCACTGGAAGAGGATATCTTTTGTTACTTAACATTGCCCTTAGGAAGTTGGTTCCATCATTTATATGAAGGATGAAGGTGAAATTTCTTGAGAAAAGTGACATCCCTTTCCTGAAGTTGCAGAGTATTTTTAGGCAGTGGCTATTTGTTGGGGATTGAGGTTTGATAATGTTCAAAGGAAGTCTCAGGTCTTTTGCTTCGTTCCTTCCAATTTCATTCTTTGTTTTGAGTCTTTTGACGTTTGTTCCACTCTTCATTCCCTAAGTATTAGTTGTCATGTTGCATGTTTGGTAGCCCTACAATAGCGTTCGGAGTTCGTAAGCATAACTTGAAGTTCACACTCTTGTTGCAATTAGTTGGCTTCTCATAATACAGTGAATTTAGGATGTAAAAATATGTTGTAGGAAGAAGAGCAGGTTTTCTTGTTGGCAAATCTTTCATGTCAGGCATGAACAATTGAAGAACACAAATGACCTTAGGAAACAAACAAGTAAATAAATAATGATTAAGATTATCTCTTCTCCTCCCGAATAAAACAAATTAGAATTGTATTTGTCTTCTACCTTTTCGGTTTGATTTATGGTATTGTATAGCTATGAACTTTTTATTTATACGGGATCATAATCTGGCACTACTATTTTTTCTCTGTTTTGTGACAGATGCTTGACAGGATAACAGGGGATGGATTGATCATCTCCAAGTGCAGGTATACAATTTTTGTGCCAAAAAATATGGATTATTTTTCACTCTTTTTTTATACGTACTGCAACTTTATTTTATAAGTAAATTCAAGTATTTCACATTGATTTGAGATATGTTCAATTGATAGATGAAAATCGCTTTTATTAAATTGTGTTAGTTTTCTTCGTTTGGCTGTAAGTAAGATTTATACTTCGAGTGCGTTTGGAACTCGTTCTAAAGTGATTTTATTTTTTTTATGAAAATAGAAATGAAAATATTTTCAATCTCAGACAGAAATTATTTTTAAAAATGCATTTGATAGTTTTATTAAGATATTATTTTTAGTATAAAAAAATCTATTAATGTCTCTCTCTATGCTCTCTCAGAGAGTAGAAAACAGAAACAAAAAATTGTTTTCATTTCCCTTTTTTGTCTTTAATTTTCTCTCCCGTTTTCATTTTTTCTTTCTCAAAAAACGTAAAAAACAAAAACAAAACCAACTTCAAACACGGCCTTCATGACCACTAATCCAAAATTCCAAACGCTTTTTCTCATTGGCAGTATATCATAGGTTTTATGCTCACAGAGAAAGCATAATAGGTATATAATAGGTCCCTCCAATTTGGGAATGATGTCCAATTTGGAAAAAGGTTATTTTTATGTTTAAGAATTTTGTTGTGGTGAGAGAATGTCAAATCAGTATAGTATTACTCTTGTGCCATTAGGGTTTAATATCTTATTTCATATTTTTTATACTAAGCATTGATTGCTTTCATGGGAAAGAAGTTAAATAAGTTGTAAACTTCCATGGCGAAAAGAAAAAGGGAAAGAAAGAAAGAAAGCATAAATGATTAATGTCTAGGGAACTTCTGATTCATTGGTTATCAACAAGTGAGATGATTCGTCACTGGAAGAGGATATCTTTTGTTACTTAACACTGCCCTTAGGAAGTTGGTTCATCATTTATATGAAGGATGAAGGTGAAATTTCTTGAGAAAAGTGACATCCCTTTCCTGAAGTTGCAGAGTATTTTTAGGCAGTGGCTATTTGTTGGGGATTGAGGTTTGATAATGTTCAAAGGAAGTCTCAGGTCTTTTGCTTCGTTCCTTCCAATTTCATTCTTTGTTTTGAGTCTTTTGACGTTTGTTCCACTCTTCATTCCCTTAGTATTAGTTGCCATGTTGCATGTTTGGTAGCCCTACAATAGCGTTCGGAGTTCGTAAGCATTCACACTTTTGTTGCAATTAGTTGGCTTCTCATAATACAGTGAATTTAGGATGTAAAAATATGTTGTAGGAAGAAGAGCAGGTTTTCTTGTTGGCAAATCTTTCATGTCAGGCATGAACAATTGAAGAACACAAATGACCTTAGGAAACAAACAAGTAAATAAATAATGATTAAGATTATCTCTTCTCCTCCCGAATAAAACAAATTAGAATTGTATTTGTCTTCTACCTTTTCGGTTTGATTTATGGTATTGTATAGCTATGAACTTTTTATTTATACGGGATCATAATCTGGCACTACTATTTTTTCTCTGTTTTGTGACAGATGCTTGACAGGATAACAGGGGATGGATTGATCATCTCCAAGTGCAGGTATACAATTTTTGTGCCAAAAAATATGGATTCTTTTTCACTCTTTTTTTATACGTACTGCAACTTTATTCTATAAGTAAATTCAAGGATTTCACATTCTCCAAGTTAGTGGTTGTTTTTACGCAATGAACTCTTT